CTTCATCTTAAATTTGTTTATTTAAACTGAATCATCCTTTTAAAATATATACTCTTCAGCATGTTTTACAATAGACATGATGTATTGGCACAAATACATATTCAATTTATAAATATACATATAGTGAGGATACATTACAAAGTTCTAATGAGTGAGTGTTTGATCAAACAAATTTGGAACATAAATGTTTTCCAAATAATTTAACGATAAAGAGGTTCATATGTTTTAGTTCTTTGTATTATTACTTTACATGCACAATTTAAATGTCTTTTCCTTGTTAAGATATCCTTGGGGTTAAGTCAAGTTTAGGTGACTTTTCCAGGTTGAAATGGAAGAAAGTAAAGTAGAATGTAATTAATCAAATTATAGAATGAATCATTGTAGGTGAAGTAAATGTTCAGTAACTGAGATCTCTAGAATTTAATAATTTAATAATAAAAACTGTACTAATTCAACTTATTTGTGAGGAAGCTAGGCCTAAATCAGAGTGATAGGAACTATGAAATATTCTTTAAGAAGTGCTTCTCCAATAATTTTGAGAATAGATAAGAAACCAAGTTAATTGTATTTTAGCAAATCTTTTAAATGCTTTCATTTAACAGGTAGCTGAGAATTATTTATCATTACTTTGTTCATTGTTTGAATTAAAATTAATACCGAAGTGGTACTTGAGAATGACCTTTTTTTCCTTTTACATTTAAATAGGCTAGACATTTGCTTTGTTTAGACCCATTAATTTGTTTTTACACAGCCTGTGAAGGTAACCATCAACTCAGAATTAATTACTGGGATCAAAATTAATGAGATTTTAACTGTATCTGGGTCATTTCTACTCTAGGCAAGTTTTCTTCACACAAATTGGACTAGCATTTTCTTGAAAAAAGAAAAATTAAATTCATTTAAATCCATGTTTTAAAAGCAAAGAACCTCTTTCCTTGTGAGTTAAGTATCTCTAATAACTCTGCTTCCTTGGGCCTAGTATTACTGATTTTTGTTGTTGCTGTTTTCAGTCTTGATTATTTTGGCTATTTCAAGGATGTTGCTCATTACAGTAAAACTAGACCTAACTCTTCAGATGCTTATTTTCATTTGCATGGATGGTATACCATTTTTATTTTGGGCTAAAAGCATTTTTGTGGACGTCATTTGCCCGTTTTCATCATCATTGCACTGTGTGAGTGAAGAACAGAACTATTCTTTAAAATGTACTTATGTAAATACACATGTCAGAAAAAAACATATCATGTGGGAATGAAAAACTAGAATTTTTGGAGTTTAGTTATTTTTTTTCTTTAGAAAATTACACCCCCACAATCTACTTTTTAAAGCACACCCTCTGCTATTATTTTATTTTTGCTTTGTGTTTTACTAATAATGGTGATAATGTGATGTAGAGATTTGAAATCTTTTTATGAGGATAGATTGCATTTTTTTTAATTAAAAAAATTATTATCCACCTTTATATTAATGGCGAAGGTGAAAGTTCTGACAGTAAAACTTCTCAAGAGGATTTGGTGCCGGAGGTCTGGTTCTCCATTAGAAAAGGGATACTGCACTGCAATATAAACTGCAGTCGGAGATGCTTGGCAGAGAGAGAATGAGTGGGTCAGTGCTTCTCAGTTTTGTTATCACTTCAGATGTTGAGAGCCACCAATAAAACATAATTTGAAAAACATCAGAGTAAAGAATATCGATAAAAAATTCACCTTTTTAACAGACAGACTTCAACCCCTCCCCGCCCCCCCCCATGCCTCATTTTATCTATGAAAAGGAATGATAGGAATGTATGTTGACGTTAATGAGATGATTGTCAACTTGGGGACTGGGAAGGTGGCTAGTTAGATGTGTGACGTTAAATAAGGATTAGTTCATTTTAAAGATTGAGGAGGCTTCCCAGGTGGCGCGGTGGTAAAGAATCCTCCTGCATCAGGAGACACAGGTTTGATCCCTGGGTCGGGAAGATCCCCTGGAGAAAGCAATGGCCACCCACTCCAGTATTCTTGTCTGGAGAATCCCACGGACAGAGGAGCCTGTGGGCTGCAGTCCATGGGGTTGCAAAGAGCTGGACACAGCTGAGCCCCTGAACACGCACGCGCACACACACACAGTCGGATGCGACTGTGAGCGACTGAGGGCCTGTGCTCTCTCTCATCAGTGCCTGAGCAAAGGGGGCGAGTAGATGGGAAGGAACACCCTTTAGAAATACTTGTTTGCAGTGACACATACACAGAGAAAACGATCACTTAGATTTGTTTTCTCTGGTAAGAAAAGTAAGTAAAACGACTACTTTTTTGCGGATCCGCATTGCAAAATAGAAAATGTGTGTGCGTGCTAAGTCACTTCAGTCGCATCAGACTCTTTGCGACCCCATAGACTGTAGCCCACCAGGCTCTTCTGTCTGTGGGATTCTCCAGGCAAGAATACTGGAGTGGGTTGCCATGCCCTCCTCCAGGGGGTCTTCCCAACACAAGGATGAAACCCAAGTCTGTTACATCTCCTGCATTGGCAGGTGGGTTCTTTACCACTAGCACCACCTGGGAAGCCCAAAATAGTTAACAAAATGGTTAACCATTTATGTGGCAGTCATCTTTTTGTAAATTGAATGGTGGATATATTTGATAAATGCAAAGTCAGTATTAATGATTATTTGTGGAAATGCAAACATACCATTGTACTAAATTATCATCTTATTTTTTATTCCCCCTAAACTATCATCTTCTGTTATCAGAATATGTCTGGTGAAAGTCAAAAATACCTTATGTCGTGTGAAGTAATTGAAAATAAAGTCATTATGTTATATTTCTGCCATGTTACATTCTAACATTGCCTGTATTTAAATGATATTCTTGTAGTTTGCCTCTGTAGTTTGACTTATTCTTTAATTACAAGGTGAAGTTTTGCAGCCCGTAGTCAGCTGCCCTTCAGTCCTTAATGTCTTTTTTAAAGAAATAAAGCATGTTTTATGTTTATGAGGAAGCATGAAATAAATTTAAAAGATGCATAAGAAAATTCTATATGATGTTTTTAAAAAAAAAAAAGAAAATTCTATATGATGTTTTAATAACAGTTTATAACATGATCTTTCTGAACTTAGTTTTCTTAACTTTGAAAATTAGTAAATAGCTACTGTGCTGATTATAGTTTTTATATCATTATAAAACACAAAGCACAAATAAAGCTAACACAGTACCCAAGATTGAAACACCTGAGTTAAAGAACAAAGTGGCGAGTTAAATCTTACTCTCTCTCTCTTTTTAATGTTCTGCTTCATTCAAAAATTGAGTTTGGATTGTTTACAAGAAATAAACAGTATTCAGTTAGATAAAAATAAAGCAAAATCACAATGAAGAGAAAATGAGAGAAACACTAGATGAGACCACCGAGAGTCCACATTCAGAAATGTGTGCCCACACCCCCCTGTTAGAGGTAAAAAACTCAGTCCTGCATTTCTTAGTAGCCCAGAACGTCAGGAATCAGTTTCAGCAGCCTTCCCCAAAGTGTGTTCCTTAAAAACTGTGTTTATAAGGTTATGATGGTCAGATGAATGTAGAGATGAGAGATAGCATTTGTCCTCTGTAGATATAATTACGCTCATGTTACAGATTAGAGGTTCTTAGAAGCTCTGTGGATAAAAACAGCTGTAGCTTGTGTTTCCCATGCACGTCTGGTCACACCCTACTCCTGCCTCCAGCTTTTTTTCATCTGATACATGTCAAAATTTCCCGATGAGGGAGTTACTGTTCTTTAGCCAAAAAAGTCTGCTCAGGCAAAGGCCAGCAGAGTGAGCTTTAAGAAAGTTCTCCTCTGGATCCTATAGAAGGGATGAAGTTGAAAGTGAAGGTCACTCAGTTGTGTCTGACTCTTTGTGACCCCATGGACTATACAGTCCATGAAATTCTCCAGGCCAGAACACTGGAGTGGGTAACCTTTCCCTTCTCCAGGGGATCTTCCCAACCCAGGGATCGAACCCAGGTCTCACCTGCATTGCAGGAAGATTCTTTAGGGATCTTCTCAACCCAGGGATCGAACCCAGGTCTCACCCGCATTGCAGGCGGATTCTTTACCAGCTGAGCCACAAGGGAAGCCTATAGAAGGGATAATGTGTCTTAGTATGTAGTGCCTTAGATCTCCTCCTCAATAAATAGCCACGATCATGCATTTCAGATGGCTATTTTGATATCGTTTCACCTTGATGTGAACCGTAAGCATAATCTAACAATTCACTACAAAGTTTTAAGTTGCTTATCCGGACATATGAAGACTCTTAATTTTTAATTTTCTCCATTATGGATTCAGTTCTTGGTAGTTACTGAAAATCTTTACTGTCTTTGATTGTTTATATTATATTTCAGCTTATTCTAAAAAGGGATGGAAGGGCACAAAGCAGGGATGAACAGGAAATACAGATCAGGCTGTTTACCAAGCTTTTGTTGTTAGTTGAGGCCATGTGCCCGCCGACGTTATAGGTGGAGGCTGTGAAGCACACCTAGAGATGATACAGATGATTGGCGGCTCTTCAGAAATGGTTGTGGCAGAGGGCCCTGAGAGTATTGTTTTGAGCAAAGGAGCAGGGAGAGCATGGGTCTAAAAGACAGGGTCACAGACAGAAGCGCTGCAGACAACAGCTCCAGCTGCTCACAAAGGGAAATTCAAATGGGGAAAGAGAACGCGTCATAAGAGATCAATTTCTTTCCAGCTCTGTCTGTTCATATATAGCAATCATTTTAGTAAGGCCATCTTCAGATTTGAACAGCAGCTTTTTCTAGGTGTCTTTTCCTTTTTAAAACTAGTTTTAATGTAGTCTTTTTCAAAGTGCTGTGATGATTGAACTGGGCATTTTAGGTATAATATGAAAGAGGAACATTATCCACACGTCCTGGTGTTGCGGTTCATGTTTTCGACAGCAGTGAATGCGTAACTAATTTTGACCTCACTGAGGACCAGATCCATGTTACTCCGAGTTTAATCTAAATGTGATTGAGATTTATTTTTCCTTTCAGGCAAGAGTGCAGCACTGCATCTGTTCTGTAGCCAGTGACCACTCAGTCGGACTTCTAAGTTTGCGAGAGAAAAAATGCATTATGCTGGCATCTCGTCATCTTTTCCCCATTCAAGTAATCAAGTGGAGGCCTTCTGATGATTACCTAGTAGTGGGATGTTCAGACGGCTCTGTGTATGTCTGGCAAATGGATACTGGTAAGAACAGATGAGACTAGAAAGTTAAATGGGTATATTCAGCTTCCTAGAAATGAAAAATCTTTTGTATGAGGAAGAACCCCTGAAATGTCAAAAGGTTGCTACTTGTGTTTCTCATCACCGCTTTTTCTAAGTGTTCTTATTATCAACAAAGAAATGTTTAGGTGTCCTCTGAAATATTTGTTGTACTCTCTCAGATACTTGTAGAGTAGTTCACTGATCTTTAGAGAAATGTGGTTGATGACAACGTTCAACTTAGGACAGACGTCAGACACCAGACAGCTAAGTGATTTCTGTATAATTCATGAGGCAAATTGTAAGAGTAAAGAATCATTAAAAAAAAAAAAAGAATTATTTTTGCCTCTAGTTGAGAAACAGTGAAAAACGATAGAATTCTCTTTCATTTGAACAGCAGAAAAATAATACAAGGCTGTTAATTGAAGGAGATAATTGAAAGTTTTAAGTTCTAGAGAGAACATTTAAAATTTTAAGGTTCAGATATTTTACATTTGTGGCATAACATGCAGCAGGTAATGTTTAGCTTAAAAACATAGACTGTGACGTATAAAATTTGCATATAGAAGCTTAGAGTTTTTCCTTGGAAATTTTTAAGTATATAACTACATGTTTATTAGTTTGGGCTTTTCAAAACACACTGTTCTACTTTTACTATCCTAAGTCATCATCTATCAGTGAGTTAAACCTTTCTTTATGTTCCTAAAAAATGTATGTGCTATGTAATATTTCTTCTATTTTTTTCTTTTTCTCCATGAAACTTTTTTTTGTTTTCTTAAATAGTCCTGTTTGAAAGCAGACTGTGTGTATATTTCTGGTTTGGACGCTGGTGTAAGAGGGAGAGCTCACAGGTCTTTTTGGAGCAAGTAGCCATAATCTTCACCTTTCCTTCATTTGCAGTCCTGGTTCTCTCTGATAGTACACAAGCAATTTTGACAAGGGGAAATGTTCTTGAAGAGTGTCAAACTTCTTTACTTTTGCCTTTAGCATTTTTTTGTTTTTGGCCTGATTGTAAAACAGATTCTTAGTTTTTGTCAGATTTTGAGAGCACAGAGTGGAAGTGAAAGTCGCTCAGTCGTGTCCGACTCTTTGCCAGAACACTGGAGTGGGTAGCCTTTCCCTTCTCCAGGGGATCTTCCTGACCCAGGGATGGAACCCAGGTCTCCCGCACTGCAGGCGGATTCGTTACCAGCTGGGCCACCAGGGAAGCCCAAGAGAGCACAGAGGCATCAGAAAGAGAGATGGACTCAAACTCACCGTCGTTCAGTGGCGAATTCTTTCATGTTTCTCTCGAGTCTCATTTCTACATTTTAAAAACAGATTTGCTGTCATATTACGTATGTAATTTTGTGTCCTATTTTTGTGTTCCTTTCTGTTGCACCCTATCTGCTGAGCAGCACCGTTTCATGTTCGTTGATTTGGTCCACCCTACAAACCAGATACAGTTGACCCTTGAACAACATGGGGGCTGAGGCCCCCCACTCCTGCATAGTTGAAAATCTGTGTGTAACTTAAAGTTGGCTGTCCATTGCCGTGTTTTCTTCATATCCGTGGTTCTCCATTCTTGGATTCAAATGACCAAGGATTATGTAGTACTGTCGTATTTACTACGGAGAAAAGCAATGCATGTGTGTGTGGGTCTGCACAGTTCACACCTGTGTTGTTTAAGGCCAGCTACATACAGAGTTCGTCTTGGGCTTTGGGCTTCCCTGCTGGCTCAGGCGGTAAGGAATCCGCCTGCAGTGCGGGAGACCTGGGTTCGATCCCTGGGTTGGGAAAATTCCCTGGAGTACAGAATAACTACCCACTCCAGTATTCTTGCCTGGAGAATCCCATGGACTGAGAAGCCTGGCAAGCTACAGTTCATGGAGTCCCAGAGAGTCAGACATGACTGAGCGACTAACACGTTCACTTTTTCGCTGAAGTCAGACTCCTTGGTGTGAGTTTAAGATCCACCATTTGGCAGCACTGTGATCCATGACAAGTCTCTCCATTTACTCATCTGTTAATGAAGATAATAATAATTCCTGTTTTATAGTGTTTCTGACAGAATAAAATGACATAATATTTACCTGGTATGTAGTAGACATAAGTGCATATCCATGTATGTTTGTGTATTTTGTGTGGGTACTTGCGTATGTGTATAGTATATTTCCTATTATTGTTATTTGACAAACATGCTTAACTTGTTACTTTGTTGGCCTTAGGGATATGATCTTACCTTAATTTAGAAAATTTTTTTTTGAGAATTAATATTAAAGAAAGTTCTAGTGATGATAATTGTAAAATATTATTTTAAAATACTGCATATATAAACAAATGATACATTGTAAATATAAGAGTATAGTAAATTTGTTTATAACTTTAAACATTAAATTAATATGATAAAGAGTATAATTTTTCTGCATTTCTTAGATGCTGAAATATATGATACTTGAATACTTCAGATACTTTAAGGACATTTACAAAGAATATGAAAGTCTTTACAAATGATACCTTACTGAAAGACAGAATTACTTTTCCAGTAGTTTCCCTAGTAGGAAATAACAAATAGCTCCTGACTGTATGTGTACTGAGGATGTTCTTTTTATAACCAGTTTACTATAATTAAGCCCAATACATAATATTGCAGTTGACCAATTATCTTCTGACCTTCAGGAGGATTTTGGTAAACAATCAGTCAATATGGCGTTCTTAAATCAAGATAAAGCTAGGGAAGCAGAATAAATTTTGGACTTCAACCATAATAGGGGGTGTACGCTCTTTTTCCCTCTTTGCTGTTCAGGTTCTAGCTAGTGATATAAAGGTCCCTGGGGAGCCAGCAAGGCACATCCTGAAGGTATTGACATTATTTATTAATTAAATAAATAAAAAATGAAGCAAAAATAAATCAGATTCGGCCCAGGCTTGATGTATGAAATGTGTTTAAACTCTGAGGAGATACTTTTTGCCTGTACTTCGTGTTTTGGGAATGTATTTTTACAGATGAAACCATATTACATGAAAACTACTCAGGCATTTTGTGCAATTTTCTGTTTGCCATTTTGAATTGCGCTGATGCTTCTAGCTTAACAACACTTAAAAATGTCTTAACTTTTTAATTTCATGGAGCATTCTGATTGTTTTCCTCTTCAAATGGGTAGTTTTTATTTTCAGTGTTCATTTCCTTATGAAATGAAGTTAAAGCTAGTAATACAAAACTCAGAGAGATAGAGGTCCAGAATCTTTTTTTCTTTTATTTATCCTCTTAATTATATGCAATAGTGCTTAATAGGGGGTTTCCCTGGTGGCTCAGACAGTAAAGCATCTGCCTGCAATGCCGGAGACCTGGGTTCAATCCCTGGGTTGGAAAGATCCCCCGTAGAAGGGAATGGCTACCCACTAGAAGCCATGGAAATGATTATTCCTTCCCAAATCTGAGTAATTAGAAAGTCTAATAACCAGCAACAAGACGTGGCTAGCTAAACATCTTGACTCCTGCTTCCGAACTTATTAAAAAAGGTGGGTCACCGACCTAGATGGTGGCTGCTTCTTCATGGAGTTGCGTTCTGTAGGGATCAACTCTCTTATTCTGCACTTCTGATGTTCCCAGTAAGCATGTGGTGGTGTTCTCTCAGGCCTCTGACAAGGTCAGGATCCTGTCTGTTGGGACATAGTGGCATGCTTCAGGGAGTGACTGGTGTTGCAAGTTGTTCTTCTTATCTGACCATTACTGAGCCTTAGACACCATTGTTATCCACACTTTTTATCATTTTTGCTTCGTAATGAAGGTGATTCATCATATACCTGTTCCTGTAGGGACAGTGGTCAGATGTTCTTATATAGTTGCAAACACCAGCAGTGATTGCCAGATATTAGAAATTAGTGTATGAAGTCTTACCAGTTTACTTTGTTCTGTTACCTTTTTTCTTTTCGTTTATTTCCTGTCCCTTCAATTTTTCTGAAATATTCGTTTTTGCAATAACTTCATGAAATATGTGTTTGAATCATTTTTTAAAACGTAAGTATCCAATAAAATATAACAGAGAATATGAGCTAATATGTCTACTGGCACAACATTTATAAAGCATGGATATCCAAAAGCATTTATTTTGATTTATTTAAATTGATGGTTTTGCCTTATTATTAAAATTACCAAAGAGAATCAGGAGGTGGAACTTCAGTCCTATCTTTTGTTATTAGTAAAGAGTTTAGTACCAAGTATTTTCTTCACATATTTGACCTTTTGCCTGCAGGATATAATACAATAGAGATTTGATTTTTTGTTTCTGTTTCACAGGATATGACATAGCATCATTGACTTTTCTGTATCTTCTATATTTTTGTTTTCATTCTATTACAAAAATAAGATAAGGACTTCCCTGATGGCCCAGTAGTTAAGAGTTCAAACTTCCAGTGTAGGAGGCATGGGTTTGATCCCTGGTCAAGGAACAGAACTTTTATAAGATACCACATGATGCATGGCATGGCCAAAAATAAAAAACAAACAAACAAAAAAAACTTAACAAAAAACACTGTAAGATAGGATAGGCAGAGACACAAAGGATGAAATGGTTAAGAAAAAAATAGTACTTTTCTAGTCAAGCGAAGTTTCCTATTTCCCTTTTGGATTCACTCTGAAATTCTGAAGGAAGAGGTTATTAGAATGGAAATATGACTATCTTTTCAACCTTCCTCCCTATAAATCCTCTGTGCAATTAATTACTAAGTCCTTCCCATTAGGTAACCGTCACCTCCCTTTCTTCTTTATAGTGTACTGTTTTTATATCAGGCTATATTTTTTAACATCCACGCTATCTTTGGCTTCCCTGATAGTTCAGTTGGTAAAGAATCTGCCTGCAATGTAGGAGACCCCAGTTTGATTCCTGGGTCCGGAAGAGGCCCTGGAGAAGGGATAGGCTACCCATTGCAGTATTCTTGGGCTTCCCTTGTGGCTCAGCTGGTGAAGAATCCACCGGCAACGTGGGAGACCTTGGTTCAATCCCTGGGTTGGGAAGATCCCCTGGAGAAGGGAAAGGCTACCCACTCAGTATTCTGGCCTGGAGAATTCCATGGACTGTATCATCTATGGGGTCACAAAGTGTCGGACACAGCTGAGTAGCTTTCATTTTCACTTTAATGCTATCTTTATTGGTTTCTCTGTCTTCTGTTTCTACCTTCTAGTCCATCCTGTACTCTCCTGGCAAATTAATTGTAGGAAATAAAACAATAACAACCACACTTGATTCATGCCACTGTCTTAAAGAAAAAAAACATAAACAATTTTGGTTCACATAGCCTTTAAGACAAGGCTGTCCACAGCATGGTACACTTCTACCTTTGTCTTATCTCCTACTGTTCTTTTATACAGACTGGTTGCTTTGTGTGAAAAATAGTTCTAACCAAGAATAATTGGGTCACTGTGTACTACCTCTTGTCTTTTATATCTTGCATATTGTTGCTCATGATTTTCATTCATTTGGAACATTATTTCTTTCTATTTGCTTATTTATTTAGGCAGTATATTATCTTTTAAGGAACAGTGAAAGTAAAAGTTGCTCAGTCGTGTCCAACTGTTTGCGACCCCATGGACTATAGAGTCCATGGAATTTTCCAGGCTAGAATACCGGAGTGGGTAGCCTTTCCCTTCTCCAGGGGATCTTCCCAACCCAGGGATTGAACCTAGGTCTCCTTCATTGCAGACAGATTCTTCAGCTGAGCCACCAGGAAAGCCCAAGAATACTGGAGTGGGTAGCCTGTCCCTTTTCCAGCAGATCTTCCTGACCCAGGAATCTAACTGAAGTCTCCTGCATTGCAGGTGGATTCTTTACAAACTGAACTATCAGAGAAGCCCTCTTTTAAGGAAACAAATATAAAAACAAAGCTTTCCCTTTTTTCCCAAGCAGTTAGCATTTTTCTTGCTCTTCATTGCTTTGTGTAGATCCAAATTTCTATCTTGAAGGACTTTTCTTTTGCCTAATATTTTTCTTGTGGTGCAGGTCTATGAGTGATTCTTTCATCTTCTGTATGTCTGTAAACCTTTTTATTTCACCATCATTTTGAAGATATTTCTTTCTGGGTATAGAATTCTGTGTTGACAGTTTTTTATTCATTCCTTTCAGTATTCCACTATCTTGCTTGTATTATTTCCAGTGAAAAATCTTCTGTCACCCTTATCTTTGTTCCTCTATATATGTACAATATCTATTTTTTGTGACTTCTTAGAAAATTTTCTCTTTATTATTGATTTTGAGCTGTTTGGTTGTAGTTTTCTGCATATTTCTTGTGCTGAGGGTATGTAGTTCTCAAAAAATTTGGTAGGTTTTGGCCATTATTTATTCAAATATGTTTTTGACCTTCCCCTCTCTTTTCTCTGTTTGGAGACTCTGATTATGTGCCTGTTAGCATACTTGAAATTGCCCAGAGCTTGAGGATTGTCTTTTCATTTTTGATATTATTTTTCCTGTGTTTAATTTTATAATTTCTATCCTGCGTTTTCAAGTTTACTGAGCTTTTCTTCTGTAGGGGTCTTAAGGGAGAGGAAAGGATGCAGGTAATGCTACATGGGAGATCATTAGAGGAAGGAAGGACAAGTAAATGTTTCTGGCAGGCACTCCTACATTTAAAAATGTCCGTGCATTTTTTTCCTTTCTTAAAAAATGGACTTTAGTCGTCCAGAGTTGTGTAGTGACTGTGCATGTGCGTGTCTCCCAGGAGCACTGGACCGGTGTGTGATGGGGATCACGGCTGTGGAAATCCTGAACGCTTGTGATGAAGCAGCCCCTGCTGCTGTCGACTCACTGAGTCACCCGGCGATCAACCTCAAACAAGCCATGACACGCCGCAGCCTTGCTGCGCTGAAGAACATGGCCCATCACAAGCTGCAGACTCTTGCCACTAACCTCTTGGCTTCTGAGGCATCTGACAAAGTAAGTTTTATACGTGGACTCATGTGTCCCCATTCAACCTCATTTAATGACACGGCTTTGACATTGTGGAAATGATTAGGAAATCATTTTGAGGAGATAACACTGGTGAATACTAAGCTTCTGATTTTTAAGCAGGTTTATCCAACACAGTTTTGGAATGTTTCAAGTATTTGGCATTTTGAAAAAGTAACTTGTTCTTACCATTCAAACTATTTTAAAATGATTCCTACAGACTCGAGTGACTTTAGCTTCTGAAATTAGAATGAACAGTTTGTGTATAATCCGTCTTCTGAACTTTCTGAGAGTCTTCCTGTTGGAAGGTTGAGCACTGGTGATATCTTCAGGAGAAAAAAGTAACAACTTAGAAACAGTTGTGGCTTTTCATTTGTTTTAAAAATAGGCTCTGATTTTACTAATGTTATTAGGCCACTGACAAAATTCAAGAAAATACATGAGAATAGGGATGGTGAGATTGCATAAGTGCTGGCATTTTTCTTCAAAACCCTAACTCAACCACACCTTCCTTCCTGATAGTTAAAGTAAACCCACCAGGTACTTCTTTAGTTAACAGAAAATTGTCTTACTAAAAGAAGAAGAGTCAACCCCTGTTCATTAATTGGCTACTTACCATTAGTTTTTAGACACTAGCCACTATTTCCTTTGTGGTCCTTCTGTTCTGTGGTGTTATTAGAACTAGTTTGTCTCTGGTAAATGGATAAATGAAACCTAGAGACCATCCCAGTGTTTTATCTGGACCACACTTAAAATTCCTAGTTCCATCTAAGAATTCTTTAGAATTAAAGAATGGGTCACCAAATACTTTTATTTTCATTCTCTTTTATTCCTGATTCCTACTTTTTAAATGATTAGATGTGTGCATAAATAACCAAGGGGTTGAAAGGGTCATGTACACATTTGAAAATTTGCCCATGAATTAGTGAGTGCTAATCACATAGGAAATATTTACTACAGGCAGCTCCACGGGCCCATATCCTCTAGTAATTTGCAGAAATAGTTGATTATTCTGTCTCTCCTCAAGATATTAATGTCTTATTGGCTTTGTTATATTGTATGTTTCATAGATTGGAATTGTGAAATCCTTCTGTGATTTTTTTTTTTCATGCTTTCTGTTCCATGCTCTATAGAAGACAGGGTTAAATGCACTTGCCATGGCTATAATTTCTTTCAGAAGATCATGTGGATATTCCCTAGGAATTCAATGTTCATGGCACATTGTCTGATGTTCTATATAATTCTGATATTAAGCAGACTTATAAAACAATACATTCAAGGGCAAGCGTGTAAGTTTGGTAATTCCCAAATATATTCTTGTTCTTGTTGATAGCACCTAGAAGTAAAACTTTGGAAAAATAATGATATGACTAGAAAATTAAAGGGAAATAAGTGGTACAGTAACATTTATGAATGGCTTTTGTAAGTGGTCATGGCCCATTATGTGATTTTTTACAATCTTGTTTGTCCCTGTTTTAATAGCGCATTTTATAGTGCAATTAGTGATAAAAGCACCAGATATCAGAGGCACTACACTTACGTATTGTAAAATATATTGCTCGTGAACCTCCTCAGCCTTGTAGCAGTGGTAATTGTTGCCTGGCCTACAAGGGAAACAATTATAGAAGGGGGGAAAGGCTTAGGAAGCCAAGGCTGCAGGAGGATAATCACTTTATGAAAAATGTATGTGGGCTGGACCATTAGGGATTTCTCCAACTATTTTCTCATGTTGACTTAGAGGCTCCTCCTGAGGGGAATATTTAAAGAGCCATTTTCTGAATGGCTTTCAAACCTCTGGAGAAATGGAGCCCACCCAAAGTTAAGAAAAAAAAAATAACCGAAACGTAACTAAGAGGCCTCTCAGTGGTACATGACTTACTCTAGGAAATTGGATCTTTTTTTTTTTTCATGGTTCTCAATGGAAAGTGAAACGTCGATGGGAATACTGTATAGAACGTATCCAGTTTTCTCCTGGTTGGTGCTGGCCATTGGGCTATTTGGAAGTAACAAATATTTTATATTGTTAATTAGGTTAATTTTGCCTGACATATACAGTGTTACATGCAAAGGTAGATTTAGTAAAGCAAATTTACTGTCCTGTGATTTTTTTTTTCTTCTTTCACTGGAAGAGCAAGAAGGTGTTAAGTAGAATTATCCTTTATTACTGTATTGAATGCAGTACTTGGATGGAATCTCAAAAATGACAGAATGATCTCTGTTCATTTCCAAGGCAAACCATTCAATATCACAGTAATCCAAGTCTGTATCTAACCAGTAATGCTGAAGAAGCTGAAGTTGAACCATTCTATGAAGACCTACAAGACCTTCTAGAACTAACACCCAAAAAAGATGTCCTTTTCATTATAGGGGACTGGAATGCAAAAGTAGGAAGTCAAGAAACACCTGGAGTATCAGGCAAATTTGGCCTCGGAGTACAGAATGAAGCAGGGCAAATGCTAATAGAGCTTTGCCAAGAGAACGCACTGGTCATAGCAAACACCCTCTTCCAACAGCACAAGAGAAGACTCTACACATGGACATCACCAGATGGTCAACACTGAAATCAGATTGATTATATTCTTTGCAGCCAAAGATGGAGAAGCTCTATAGAGTCAGCAAAAACATGACCAGGAGATGACTTTGGCTCAGATCATGAACTCCTTATTGTCAAATTCAGACTTAAATTGAAGAAAGTAGGGAAAACCACCAGACCATTCAGGTATGACCTTAATCAAATCCCTTACGATTATACAGTGGAAGTGACAAATAGATTCAAGGGATTAGATCTGATAGACAAGAGTGCCTGAAAAACTATGGACAGAGGTTCGTGACATTGTACAGGAGATAGGGATCAAGACCATCCCCAAGAAAAAGAAATGCAAAAAGGCAATATGGTTGTCTGAGGTGGCCTTACAAATAGCTGAGAAAAGAAGAGATGCTAAAGGCAAAGGAGAAAAGGCAAGATATACCCATTTGAATTCAGAGTTCCAAAGTATAGCAAGGAGAGATAAGAAAGCCTTCCTCAGTGATCAGTGCAAAGAAATAGAGGAAAACAATAGAATGGGAAAGACTAGAGATCTCTTCAAGAAAATTAGAGATCCAAGGGAACATGGAAAGATGGGCACAATAAAGGGCAGAAATGGTATGGACCTATCAGAAGCAGAAGATATTAAAAAGAGGTGGCAAGAATACACAGAAGAACTATACAAAAAAGATCATGACTCAGATAATCACAGTGGTGTGATCACTCACCTAGAGCCAGACATCCTGGAATGCGAAGTCAAGTGGGCCTTAAGAAGCATCACTAAGAATAAAGCTAGTGGAGGTGATGGAATTCCAGTTGAGCTATTTCAAATCCTGAAAGATGATGCTGTGAAAGTGCTGCACTCAATATGCCAGCAAATCTAGAAAACTCAGCAGTGGCCCCAGGACTGGGAAAGGTCAGTTTTCATTCCAATCCCAAAGAAAGGCAATGCCCAAAAATGTTCAAATTACCACACGATTGCATTCATCTCACATGCTAGCAAAGTGATGCTCAAAATTCTCCAAGCCAGGCTTCAGCAGTATATGAACTGTGAGCTTCCAGATGTGCAAGCTGGATTTAGAAAAGGCAGAGGAACCAGAGATCAAATTGCCAATGTCTGTTGGATCATCGAGAAAGCACGAGAGTTCCAGAAAAAAAAAAATCTACTTCTGCTTTATTGACTATGTCAAAGCCTTTGACTGTGTGGATCACAAACTGTGAGAAATTCTTCAAGAGATGGGAATATCAGACCACCTTCCTGTCTCCTGAGAAATCTGTATGCAGGTCAAGAAGCAACAGTTAGAACTGGACATGGAACAATAGACTGGTTCCAGATCGGTGAAGGAGTATATCAAGGCTGCATATTGTCAACCTGCTTATTTAACTTATATGCAGAGTATATCATGCGAAATTCCGGGCTGGATGAAGCCCAAGCTGGAATCAAGATTGCCGGGAAAAATCTCAATAACCTCAGATATGCAGATGACACCACCCTTATGGCAGAAGGCGAAGAAGAACTAAAGAGCCTCTTGTTGAAAGTGAAAGGAGAGTGAAAAAGTTGGCTTAAAATTCAAAATTCAGAGAACTAAGATCATGGCATCTGGTCCCATTACTTCATGGCAAATAGATGGGGAACAGTGAGAGACTTTATTTTTGGGGGCTCCAAAATTACTGCAGATGGTGACTGCAGCCATGAAATTAAAAGACACTTAATCCTTGGAAGGAAAGCTATGATCAACCTAAAGTGAAGTGAAGTCGCTCAGTCATGTCCGACTCTTTGCAACCCCGTGAACTGCAGCCCACCAGGCTCCCCTATCCATGGGATTCTCCAGGCAAGAATACTGGAGTGGGTTACCATTTCCTTCTCCAGTGATCAACCTAGATAGCATTTTAAAAAGTAGAGACATTACTTTGCCAACAAAGGTCCGTCTAGTCAAAGCTATGGTTTTTCCAGTAGTCATGTATGGATGTGAGAGTTGGATTATAAAGAAAGCTGAGCGCTGAAGAATTGACGCTTTTGAATTGTGACTCTTAAGAGTCCCTTGGACTGCAGGGAGATCCAGCCAGTCCACCCTAAAGGAAATCATTCCTGAATATTCATTGGAAGGACTGATGATGAAGCTGAAACTCCAGTATTTTGGTCACCTTATGCGAGAACTGACTCCTTGGAAAAGACCCTGATGCTGGGAAAGATTAAAGGTGGGAGAAGGGGATGACAAAGGATGAGATGGTTGGATGGCATCACTGACTCAATGGACATGAGTTTGAGTAAGCTCTGGGAATTGGTGGTGGACAGGGAAGGAAGCCTGGCGTGCTATAGTCCAGGGGGTCACAAGAAGTCGGACACGACTGAGTGACTGAACTGAATTGTATTGAACCTTTGAAAAGTGTGTGTACTCAAGACCCTGTGTATTCCTCTCATGATATGTCATATTTCTCCTTGTATTATGATAATGTGTGTATG